AAAAAGTACTATATTACCAGAATAAAAACACTGTTTATTACAATATTTTGTTTTTCTCCAAATAATATTATACAACAAACGTTTGTACTCAAATATCGACAAACAAACGAAAAAATACGTGAAAGGCGAGGTCAATAATCGTGATAGTTTAAAAAAAAACATGGGTCAAAGAGCAGTGGGGTCACAGAGACCCCATGGTACCAGAGCAGGGTTAAGGATGCGATATCTTGTATGCTATCCTTCAAGGTTGTGACATTTGAATGATATCTTTAAGAAATAAGTAATTATTAGGGAGACGGCGTGAAAACGGCTATAGCTGTATATGGCAGCGAATGTGTTGAGTGAAAAAACCGAAAGTTTCGCCTCCTTCGAAAAGTCAGATCTGGCGACCTCGGCCCTCGGAAAACGGCCGAGGCCTTGGAGATGCGGCTGTTGATCTTGTTTCTGTATCGCCCGTCACTCGAGAATCAGACCTTGAGGTATTTGAACTTCTCCACTTCCAGTGGGGCCCCTTTAATATGTCAGGCGCACAATACAGGAATTCTCGAGGGTACCATAACCTGCACTTTGGGACTTGATTTCATTCCGGCCGCAGTACATTCCGAGTCGAACCGATCGAGCAACCTCTGAAGCTCCTGTCGAGACCGAGTCAAAAGGACAGGATCATGAGCGACGATAAGGATCATTACTTCGATAACACAGATGCTACACCCTCGAGGCCCAGGCTACGTCTACAGATCCTATTACCAGGAACAGGAGAGAAGAGAGAGTGCAACCCTGACGGAGTCTCACTAGTACTAGGAAGGAATCCACAGCTCATTCCATTCGCTCTAACGCAGCTCCTGCAATCACTGTAAAACGATTGAATGGCCCGCACTAGCTGATCGTTAACCCAATTCTCCTGCAGCACTCCCCACTGTTTCCCTCGAAGTACATAATCGTGCTAGCTATGGGGTATGGTATGGGGTATGGGGGTATGGGGGCATAGCGCTCTATGAACAAAGAAAATTATTAATCCATCTAAAGCATTCGTTTTCGAACTTCACCCCTAATGAAGCGGTCAAACCTCTTGATTAATGGTTTGGCAATTCTCGCGCCTTCGGCACTCGCACCTTAAAAATAAACTTGTTTCAGAAAATATTCAAAGTGACATCATATGATTTCCAGCATGAGGAGCACCAGGCAAAAATTCAGTGCGTCGTTTAGTGTTCCTATACAGTATATTGAAATAAAATTTCTGCCTGTGGTCGTCACACTCTTCTTTGCATATAAATCTCCAAAAACATATAGTAGCAGACACATGAGCGTTTTAGCACAGTAATTCCATCGTAGACTATGGGGAGTTTTATCGTTATATTCATGTCTATATTCGGGTAACAAGACCCGAAGGAAATCCCTTTTTAAAACTCTTCCCAAGGCTACATACAGTTGCCCATGAGAAAATACGTCATTCGGTAAATGCAGCCCAGAGATATTATGTTGCCGTTTCGTTGGAGGAAGTGTGTGCACAGAAATAGCATTGGCCTATGCGTCCGTCAGTGGATTGAGCGTAGCCACTCTAAATCGAAATGTCGAGGGAAAAATCTTCCTACCAGTGGCGTAGCCAGGATTTCGCCAATGGTGGGGCTAAGTGGAACGGTGGGGGGGCCTTGAACCAAACTTGGGGGGGGGGGGGCTGAAGCCCCCACTCGCTACGCCACTGCTTCCAACCCGTTTTCCTGACAGAAAAATATACATAACCCATTCGCATCCACAAGCGTACGGGTAAGCGACAACCTATGCCCTTCTCATAACCTATGACAAAGAAAGGCATAGGCCAAAGGCTTCGCGCCTCAGGCAAAGGCAGCAGGGCTCTCGGTCAGATAGGCCGAAAAGTTCCTAGTGTACAGGGTGTATGGTAAGTAACTCCTTATTTTAAAATGCTAGTAACTCTTTTTTTTTAACGAAATTTAATGAAGGAAGAATGTGTATGGAAGTGGTAGTAACCTAAGCGTCCCCCCGCGGGGATTGTATACTTGTGCGAGTGGAATACCTCATATGCCCGAAAAAGCACCTCGAAAAGAGAAGTGCCTATAGATTTCAGCGGAAAATTGCCTACGGGAGGCGTAATGGGGCGTACTCGTGCCTATAGGTTCAAGTACACGGCGTTGTGAAGCTGTGCATGGCTATTTCCTGTTCATCTACAGTGGTAGGCGAGAAGGCACCGGAACTGTAGGCATACGGACACTCTCCAGCACGGCATCGAAGAATTACGCCTACACTATCGCAGAAAGGACTTCGGAAACATTCCCTGAGGGTTCTCGAAACAAAAAATAAATCAGATCTCAACAAGTTTTCCTATATTCTGCCTATATAAAGCCCCAGTCTAAGAGCTTGAATGTGCAGTTATCAAATGGATAGTCCGCCCGTTCAGATCGTGAAAGGACCTAGAGGTGGCGAGCAGCTAATACATAAGGGATTTTTATTCCGCCTCAACAGACGAGAACGGGAGAAGACTTACTGGAAGTGTGTATATGTCGGATGCCTTGCCACTGTAACTACTCAAGGAAAAAACGTGACCGAAGGTAAGCCTCATGTGATCCACACCAAGGAGGAGGCAGCCAAACAATTACATAGTGACTCCCTAACCTGGAAAATTCGTGAACGAGTGACGGCGGAACCTCATACATCCATCCCTCTCATCTATCGGTAAGATTGCAGCATAGCTTAGAGGATAGTATTAATATTACTTAGAAGAGAATGTTATTGTGTTCACATGGGTTTCACATATTTACATTAAACACTATGAATAGTGCAATCAATACTAGTTTCTATCGGTAAGATTGCAGCATAGCTTAGAGGATAGTATTAATATTACTTAGAAGAGAATGTTATTGTGTTCACGTGGGTTTCACATATTTACATTAAACACTATGAATAGTGCAATCAATACTAGTGGACTGTTCTACTGTCTGCGTTCTTCATGGTGTTTATATCAATAGGGAGGAAGCAGGGAAACGTCACCTGGACGATCCCGATGCTTCTGAATTCACGCCCCCTTTCCAAACCATCAAATCCGGTTTGTACAAACGGAGGCGGAAGACTGTACCTCCTGCACCGACATCTCTGGAGGATGTTCGCATCACTGGCGATTGGGAATTAACGCTGGACGGACGAGTTTTTTCAGTCCTCCTCTAGCAGTAAGGTTGTCATCTTCGCAACCACCGAAAATTTGGATCGCCTCTGCAAAGCAGACGAAGTGTTCATGGATGGGACATTCTCAGTGGCTCCTCAACCCTTTGTCCAACTTTACTCACTACGTCACCACTCCAAGAGGCAAAATTGGATCTCATGAAGGATCACTCTCCATGCCAGTTGTCTTTGCTTTTCTCCCCGACAAGCGCATGGACACCTATCGCAAATTATTTCAAGCTCTACTGGAAATTTGCACCAAGGCAGGCCTTTCTTTCAGTCCCAAGTTATTTCTCTTGGACTTTGAGAGAGCTGTCATCACTACATTACAGCTGATCTTCCCTTCTGCGATGGTCAAAGGTTGCTATTTTCACTTCACCCAGGTAAGCCAAAGAATACTTTCATATCCAGACTGATTTCTGGAGATATGAAATGCTAATTACCTTTATTCTTGCAGGCCATATACAGGAAGGTCCAGGAACTTGGCATTTCAGGACCTTTCATGAAGTCCAAAGAAGTGAAGCTGTGGATCAGAAGAGTTATGGCTCTACCTTTCATCCCGTTGGAAAGCATCGATGACGTCTACCTTTGGATTATTGCAGAAGCACCATCCTTGTCTGGAGTCCAGGAGTTCCTGGACTACTTGGTTGAAACGTGGATTGATGATGTAAATCCTCGATTTCATCGTTCCGTATGGTCCCATTTCGGAAAAAACGGCAGCAGGACAAACAACGCCGTAGAGGCATGGCATAGCAAACTGATGCGGGCAATCAAGAGAAGGGCAAACCTCCTTGAATTTATCAAATTCTTGAAGGTTTATATTTCTCCTATAACAAAGAGTGAGCAATCAGATGAGAACATACTTGCTGAGGCCTGTTTTTTATTCTCAGGAGGAACAGAAGATCAATGAAATGCATTTGAGGAAGAAAGCGTCCCCAGGAGATAACTCGAGCAACAAATACATCCAGAGGAAAGTCGGAATCTCCAAAGCCGAGGACGACCTTTTGCTTGGCGCAATTGACGTCAGAAAGTTCACAGATCGAATCGTGCAGCTTTATAAGCTGAAGATTTTCTCCTGATGGTCCCCAGTGCCTGTTATAAAGCTGTCCTTCAGTATGGTATATGTGTCATCATTAACTTCCCCGCATCCTTTTTGTCAAGGAAGCCCTTTTGTCTGTTCCTTTTATGACTATCCCTGTAGGAGGAGAATTCCTCCAGAAGCGTTTTGGTGATCTCGGAGTCGTGGTGGATGCAAACCTACGCACGCATCTCCGTTGGTGTGGAGTTCTGCCTATAGACCTACAGACACAACCCAGAAATGTGCATAGGCATACATCCACACGACTCCTAAGCCGTCAGAAACTGTTAGGAAGAATTCAACTTCAACAGAAGTAGGCATAAAAGGAGTAGGTAGAAGTGGTACCAAGCCCATCCGCGGGTTAGGCCTGGGCCGGTGAAATCAGTCCCCCCCCCTCCTTCTCCCCGAAATATCCCCCCAAGGCATGTACCTCCAAAGTCGGACTTTCAAAGTCTTATTTTCTTTGGAGTCGGCGACCTTGCAGCTATTCACATTCAATCCAGTTTCGTTGCAGGAAATGTGTATATGAAAATGGCATGGCCAAAGCGTCTGTGTGTGGGTTAGGCCTAAGCTTACAAAATCATTCCCCCCAAAATGTGCCCCCATGGAACCAGAGGTGGATACAGAAATGTTTCATAGAGTTCTCTACTTCCTACCGAATCCCCGCCTGCCACCACTCAGCTTTATCGCCTTTTTCATTTCTCGTCTGGAGTAAAAACTTGAATATCTATTTCACTGGCCCCGATAAAAATTAATGAAGAAGCTATTTATAATTTTAAAAAAAAAACGTAAAAAATAGAATGGTAACCTGGCCATAAGGATCGCCCTGCATGGAACGTACCCCCAAAGTTGAAATTTTTCTAGTCAACAGTTTACTAGCTATTCGCATACCAAGTTTCAGCTTCTCATCATTTCTAGAACATGGTTGGAATTAACGTCAGTCAGTTACTCACGATCGTCTATATACCAAGTATATTAGGTACCTTTTCGAGATCCACAAAACACGTATAACTATTCAGCATATTCCCAATGTCTCCCGAGAATCTGGTGTGGAATGAAGATCTGGCCGTAGTGCTGCGCCCTTCGCACAATCCGCTCTTGGATGGCTAATCCAACGACTGCTCTCCTTTTGAGCACCTTGGCATAGACGAGGTATGTTGAGGTGAGTGATTCTACTGTATTATGTGCACTCCCTCGAGTCCCCCTTCTTTTATAGAGGAGCCTCCGAACCGGTCTGCCGTTCCGTAAGTGCCTGCGCCAATTCCCATGCGGTTCGTACCCTATGCAACTACGAGTACCAATCGATGCCCATTGCTTTCAAGGTCTCTGCTCAAATTTCCTTCACTCCAGGAGACTTTCCGTATTTGAGGCTTGTCTTGGCTCGTCGAACTTCCTCCATGGTGAGACTTTTCTTCGCACAGATAGGGTTCGAGGAGGGTACATCCGAGTCCGCCGTGGGTGAGTTTAAGAGCGACTGTTAGTGTTCCTTCCGCCTTTCAAGTATTTCCGCTTCGGCAGCCAAGAACTTTCCGTTTCGATCTTTCACGACCCGGAGAGTATGTAGTCTGCCTTGCCATTCGTACCATTCGGGGACTCCTTTCGAACGGTTTGCCAGAACACCTTGTCAGCATTGCGGTAGTCGTGTTCCATTTGTTCGCCGAATTTCTTCCATGCCTCCTGTTTCGCTTCAGTCTCGGCTCGAGCAGATTTTCGCGCCTCCCTCTAACGCGCTTTTGAAGAGTCCTACTCACTGGACATAAACGCCCTATAGGCTGCCTATTCTGCCGATTTGCTGGAATCTGAGGCGTATCAGAGCGGCTCTCTCACCGATCCATTCGATCAATCTGATCATCCGCTAATGAGTATCCCCACTCCCGCCTGAGCAAACAGAGTCGGATCTACGTCGCTCCATTCCATTCGTGATATACAGTGGAGCGATGAGACTCCTGCCTTTTCCTTTAGTCGATGATAGGCAGACTACGGAAGGCTGCCCCTGCTTTATTTCACCATTTTCAAAATGCATTTACTCATATGAGGAAAGGATAAGTAGTTTACGTGTGACACGTGATTACTGGGCAAGAAGTTAACCTTTTATAAGTAGGGAGCGGATTTTTATGCGCTGATAAGTTCAAATATATGCACATACATATGCTCTTAAAAATGGATTTAGGGTAGAGTTATGGGACTTCGCCACCCCAAACCCCACCCCGTCGCTACGCTACTGGTCACAGCACATAACGGCTCGAAAATTTTCATCGGTAGTTCATAATAAATAAAAAATACATATTCCTGAAAACCCTTATTTTTCCCCCCCAAAAGGGCGAATTGTGCATAAATATGCATATATATACGTTAATATGTACATGTTGAGAAAAACCTAAAAATACGCATTTTTATGCGTTTTCAAAATGACAGGAATCGCCTCCTCTACCAATAAGGCATGATCCTACCTGGGTTGCATGTTCCTAGGAGGCTGCAGAAAAAATATGTATTTGCATAAAAATACGCTCCCTAGTTATAAGGGGGAGCCACTGCGTTGGCATTTAAAGATGCCTGTTGACTATGTCGTAAATTATGTGCGTGAAATACATATCCACGAATAGTTACGCACACAAAACGATAATTAGTGAGTGTTTCTTGAAAGGATGACGCGTTTCCAAAGGAACGATCCAAAGGAATGATGAGCATCATCATCTACAATGGAAAGAGGCGAGGAGATAAGATAGGAGTGAATCTCAGACACTAAGACTAATCCAAGATCAGTACGCAACAAGAAGCTTCTGCTAAATGTGACTCATTTAGCGAAATAAAAATGCATCGAGCAAAAGATTACCTGCTTGTCGACTGCCGGTGTCCAAGTATCAGCGAGATTAATCACGAGGACCTCAAAATGTAAGGAAAGCACAAGATCGAAGTCCATTTCCTGAGTCCAAGACACTTCAAGAAGAGGAATACGAATACCCGAAAATTATGCGAACGTCACTTAATCGGTGAAAGGTACAAAATTATCATGACGCTCGATGGAACTTGGTATGTGGAAAGAACTATATACTGCCGGGGAAAGGGTTTTCATTCTATAAACAAGTTTTGGATTTCTGCTCATTTGGGTTGCTGAAGCTCGCCCACGTGAATCGGCGCCGCGAAACTTTGGGCGGACTTCGGAAAGTTATCTGGGTGAATGGGGAATGAGGGGAATTGGAGAAATTGGATATATTTGTGCCCATTAAGGCTCCAGCAGAGTAAAAATCAAGATGCAAGGCTATACTTCAGAGCCTAGGACATGAGATCGGTTTTGACATGAGTTTCTAGGAAGAAGCTTTAAAAACATAATATTCTAAATAAAAAATGGTGAAGTAAAGCTGGGGCAGCCTGTATATCCAGTCGTTCATTAGTCTCTTCCACGAATTTCGTCTCCTTCCCGTCGAGTGTTGGCACGTTCCAAATCCCAATATCCAAAGTCTGTTGCTTAGGTCGTTTACCACTTAGTTGCGAGGATGGACTCCAGCGATTCGGAAGGCCGCAGTAACCCGCGTCCACCACGATACAGGGGATTCTGTTGAGGATGACCGAGACGAACCAAAACCAGCACGACGCGTTCGTCTCAGGAGTTTCACACCGGATCGATCAGGATAATACACCGGATCAGGATAGGCCCAGGATAATCAGGATCGCAATAGTCACGGTACTCCTGGGTGAGTGCTTTCCGGATAACGATTGATGATTGATGAGGCTCTTTTGCGCTTGGGAATTCAAAACTTTTAGATGCGTCGGACCCCATCGTGCTATATCCAAACCCATCAGTCGGCCTGCCACCGGCCAAAGAGTATTTTCGACAAGTTGCCCTAAGGGCAGACCAGGAACAGAATTGAACATATCTGCAGCCTATTTCGCGATAACTTAGTCGAGCGGGGTGGCCAATGTGCCAAATCGAATTGAAATTGGGCTTAACTGGAAGTTGTGATAAAGTTTTGAACTGCTGAAAGACGCCATGAAGATCGAGTATGGATCTCCATGCTCCACGTTAATAATAATAATTGCAGTGATACCTTTACTGTGACCGAGGAAGCATGAACCTGACAGTATATATATCATTGGACAACCCCGCTCGACTAAGTTATCGCGAAATAGGCTGCAGATATGTTCAATTCTGTTCCTGGTCTGCCCTTAGGGCAACTTTTGAAATCCCTGTGGGTCCTGGTTCTTGGGCCACCCTGTACAAGTCCTCTAAATGAAAACTTTGAAGTTCTATACTTAGAACCGCCGGCAGGTTGAACGGCCCACCGTTTAATCTGTGGGGATGATAATATACCTAATATACCTGAATATAATATCCTGTCGTGAAGTCGTGTAGAACGTACTGCTGTCTGGTACGTCTGCTAAAACCGTCGTCTGCTACGGCCTGTTGCGCCCAGAAACCATCGTCCGGAAAGTATTAAAGAGATCTGGAAGGTACGAAGGGACTTTCGGGGGATTTATGGGTTATTTTTGCTACTGTATTTCAAAAGAAATGAGGTTTTTAATGGTCGACCTCCTGGCCTTCTGGAATAGTGGAGCAGAGAGAAAGAGAGAGAGAGAGAGAGAGAGCATATCAAAATCTTGAAGGCTATTCGCAAGGACTTTTTTTTTAGAACATTCAAGTTTATAATAAGGGACGATTTTGAACAGTTGGAATAGAAAGATAAATAGTATTTAATGTGAAGAAACACAAGGACATCTGCCAGCGATAGAAGAAGCTTAATTCTGTGCAAGGAAGAATGCTGCCGACGTAGACGTTGTTCGGGTCACTCGCGTCCTCGAATACGTAGGAAGCGCAGTCGTCGTATTCTCAACTTCCGTGGATCGCAAGAACTTGAAAAAGTCGGCGTGTTGCGTGGGATGACTGATGGTACTGTCGGCACGACACTATGCGCATCAACCTCAGATGCCTATGGACAAACGCTAAATCGTGAGTTAACTCCCATACGGATGCCGGTAAGTTGTTGACTCCCGTATTCACTGGGA